GACCCGCAATCCGCAGATTGTGAGTCGAGCTCTGGCCTCATGTGTAAAATAAATGCATATATTGTTATATCTATAAAACAAAATACTTGTATTTTTCTAATACATTCAAGTGTAGCACTTTGATTGAACGCCATTAGAGTTATTTACGTGAATTTGAAAACTATAAAAAATACACGCATCTTGTTAAACTATTTTTTGGTGTCAAATTAACAGTAGAGCTCAAATCGTATTATATTCATAACTGTTTTACTTATTGCTTTCTTACCACTCAAAAACTTAATGGACCTGTAAATAAAAATATTTATTGAAAACGTTTCCTTACCAATCCACACTGCCTGGACAACATTTTTAACTTCAAGGACTTTTTTATTTCGTTGTTCGCGGCATCGCCAACTCACCTAGCCATGCGCCACCTTGTACCGCACAAGAAACCTCGTGCATCACTGAAATTTTTCTGGTCGTTTTCGAAAATGTTCACACATAATCCTTCCAAAGCATGGTAACCAAACTCACAGTTATAACCTTGAGCCTTCTTTGGTATGTTAAAAAATATTATTAAAGTTTTAACTCATTTTCAACATAAATTCAGACTGTAACCTTTCAGGAATGTTTTAGGGTGAAACTAGTCGAGATAATACTAGTAAATAAAAAAACATAATAAAAGAACACAATATCGTGTACAGCAATTAGTATCGAAACTAGTTTCTCTGATATTAGACTTCTGACAGTTTGTTCCATTTACTGTGGTTTTTTTCACTAATAAAAACATATTTTGTGTATGGGTAGACATAAAACTATTTACAATCTTTAGGCTTTATTCGCCAAAAATTATCACATGACTTATGGAGTACTGAATCTAAGAATTCATTTATGAAACATAATGAAAGTACATAAAAAAAAACTATTCTGGAGCCTCATCCAGAATAGTTATGTCCGATCGTGCTCTGTCTGACGACGGTGCATCTTCACAATAGCCCTGCTACGTAATTTCCATTGTAAAGGGCTCCGTCGTAAGTCTGTCAAGCTGAAGTAAACCCCTATTCTCTTACAGTAAAGTGTTTTTTTTTAAAAAACAAAACATAATAGACATTTCAGAAATAATACGATCAATATATTTGTATTCCTAAGAAAATCAATCAACTCTGACAGTTCCTAATAAGGTATTTAATATTTATGAAAAGACGATCGAGACTTTAACTATCACTTGCAATAATATTTTCTTACCATTACATTGCGTTTATACAAGATATAGTATGAAGCAATTATTTTCACTTTACTGTAAATATATATTGTGGATTTTTTTTACATCATATTTTATCAACAAATACTGTTTACTTAAAACGACACTCTCACGAGCACCTTTTCGTTTTCATTAGAGACAAACCTACACGTGGCAACTCAAGATTCTGGTACAAATAACGTTTGTCATTACTTCCACACCTTAAGTCATTTCTGAATTTGAGCGTTTAAATTTTAAAAATACAATTAACATTTCGTATACTTTTAATGAGCCGTCCGTGGCCTAATGGTTGATGTGAACTACTACAATGTAATGAGCTAAAACAGCCCAAAAAGGAAAAATCTAAGTGCTATCTTTCCTTTCGAGGATACCATCATAAATGGAAAGACAGGATAGTGAACACAAATTCAAGTGATTAACATTTAAACCGAAATTTTCTGTACAAATACAAAGGTTTTCGGTGAAGTTTTAGGTAGAAGATAATCCGTGTGAATAGTGTCTGGAGTCTTTGGTTTCTAATGTTGTTCTAACTGATCTTGGTAGGCCTTGCCTCGATATGTATTTTATGAAATCTAAATGAAAAGTCATTATTGGTTTTATGCTTTAATCTAATAAGATTCAGAATTTTAAGACTACTTAAAAGCGATCATTTTGTTAAACTAGAGATAAAACTTGTGAGCTCTAGATCTACCTTTTGTGAAGTCTAATTCAAAGTCTGATATTTTAATCAAACAAAAATCATAATCTTACGATTAACAATAGTTAATGCGATTATTTTGATGATAGATCTTGCTAAAATGACTAACTTAGTTATCATGAAACTGAAACAAATTGAAAAAAGATTTTTTAAGTAAATGGTTAAGAATTTCTTACCCGATCGAAATTATGCTAATTTCCATGACAATTTACAATCTATCGTTAATTGTTCTCTTTCATTTGACGCTTCCCGAACTTCCCTTTTACAGCAACTTTGAACGAAACGAGCAATTAACTTCCTGCCACGCGAAAGACATTTTTCTAAATAATTTAGGTGTTATTCATATCAATACATTTAAACAAACGGGCAAACTGAAAAACATAATTAGAATAAAGGACAAAAACTGTGATTGGTCTAAAACTTGGAAACTTCAACACAAACAAACTAACTGTTCTTTCAAGTTGTACATCTCTAGACATACTTGACTGGGGTCCTTAGACGTCATCTGAAGCGTGGCCAAGTTGATAGCGTGCTGGGCCGACGATCGTAAAGTTCGAGCCCTCGATATGTCTCCAAATATGCTGTGGACTCATTATAAAAGTAATAATTTCATAATTCGGGTTACAAATAGCCATGTAGGCGGAGTGTTCTGCTGACAAGTTACCGTTCTACTGTTAAGCAGTTCAAAATAATGGATGGTATGCATGAACCTTGGAGATATTTGACTGGGCCGTTTACCCATCTTATCACACAATACAATTTCAGAATTTATTTTTTAAAGTTATTTGGAAAGTTTTTGTTGATAAACGCTGGTAGAGGAGGAGTTTTTATCCACACAACTTATATTAATTGCTGTCTGTTTTGTCATGCTGTGTTTCAGTGACTGATATTTTGTGCTAGAAAAAGCTTTCAATATCTGTGATAATTACAGTCATATTAGATAATTTCTGTAGGATACGCTCTGCATTTAGCAATACTTTTTTTTTGTCATTTCGTTAAATAATGTATACAATCCGGTTAAAAACGCCCTTGTGATCGAATCTATTTACGCCATTTGGTGTAAGTTGAGTATATAAGGTTATGATTAACCTGTTGAAAACTAGTTGATACAATATCTACAAAATTATTATTGACCTTAAAATATTCTCCCTTTCTCTAAGAGTAGTATAAGGATCATAGGTAGCACTGTTATAGCTTTACTAAAACTACTGCAAAGATTGTAAATATATAACATATTACTGTTATGGCTATATTAATTCCTAGGGCAGAGGATGTAAACGATAAAGTACGTCTGGTATGTTTTAGCCTAAACGATACATTAAACAACAAAAATAAGTACAAACAAAGAGTTAGTTAGTTATCAAGTGTGTTATTACGATCTGTTCGCGTGACTTTCATGTATTTATATCAACTCGAAGCATTAATATTAGAACACTTTGGTGATCTTTATGACTTGCCGATTGTTTAGGTATAACACAACATAAAAATGACTGTAACCTTCTTTTGCTCATTATAATTTTTTTTCCCCTTTGTATAAATAGTTAAAGGTACGTTGACAAAATTATTCAAGGAATGGTTAACATGTTATCAAAATCTCCATGGAAACACTTAAATTAGTCTATCGAAAGTAAACTCTTAACGTAAACTTTCCACTTCATTATTTAAATGTTGAATCGCTTTAAAAAAATCGACACAGCCATTACGTCCGTACACATTGTCCGTTAAAATACATTAAAACATTTCACCATTTTAGTGTGTTCGAAAAACAAGGTATTCGTTTTATCTGTGTAAATGTACAAGTGGTCAATCAAACTCGTATATAAAAAAAAAGAAAGTTTCATAAAGACTTCCAACGTATGTGTCTGGCTTATGGATTTTAACAGGACTAAATATATAGAAAAGTTACAAATCGTGTATCGTTAACTTTCCAACCATGGGGGTAAATACTATAACAGATTCACAAGGAAATGTTTCATGTTAGTGTACGCAAGTTTTGTATATTAGCGCTACACTAATTACATTTAACATTCAGAACGCACTTTTTTGCAGACAATAAAGATCGTTGGATAAACTTCGCAACATATTCCAGTTTTTTTTTAACCACATCAAATAACAGATTATTTATAACGTTAAGAACAAATATCCTGTTTAGTACACTTTTTATAAACAATTTTCAATCAAATTTTTTATATATATATATATATATTGCCTTAAGAGCCGTTTTACTATGAACTGATGTAATCAACTTAGTCGAGAAGTTATTACACATGAAAATTCATGTACAAGTAACATGGTATTGCAGGATAAAGACTGAAACTATACAGATAATCCTAAGTTTAGGAGTGAATAGAGCGAGATACAAGTGTATCAATTATCATACATTATCGGAGGTATTAACTGAAATACGGGTCACTGAGTTAACAGAACTTTAACAGTGTTCACAGAGATACTTATTACACCAGTAACAAGGCTGACTAACTTCAGTTAAAATTCACCATTTCAACCCTTGATTCAATGCCTTAATTTATCTAGGAAAGCACTGCTATCAAAACCACACAAACACAGATATATACATAATAGCACGAGTATATCATGCTTGTGGCAAGCACAGTGGAGCCCCATGTTTCTGTTAATTTTCACAAAATAGGTGTGTAATGAATGTATGATAACCTTTTCAATTATCATTTATGAAAGAAAATGCTATCACTAATATTTTGAACATGACACTAACTCATGCAAATAATGTTTTCCAGCATTTTACATAAAATTTACGTATTCTAGACTGATTGGTGTTTTTCTACCACTTCAGCACTACCAGTAAAACAAAATGAAGGAACAATGAATTCTTAATTTGGTCTTATAGAACACATCTTTCTTAAAGCTGTCTTCTTTATTATTAGTAACTTTAAAAGAGTTTCAACTATGTTTTTCATGAACGGTTAAATTCTTAAAATTTTCATGTATGAAACCTTTTTGCTCCAACATGAAAATGTGAGATAACTCTTCTCACTGAAGTTTTAAGCAGGGCTAAAATATAATCTTGATGAAGTCACAAGGCAAAAGTTATACTTATAACTTTACTAACTGAAATCATCTTAGGTTGATATTGCAAGTTCTCTAACAAGAACACTCTACATGTATATATAGATAAAGAAATATTTCTTTTATTTTTATACATGAAACCTTTCTGGGTTAGATAATTAGAACAACCTGCAACATTTTGCAATAGTTCACTTCACTGGATGTGATTTTAGCAACACAGCCAGCTGTTCTTCACTACCTACAACTTCTCTCTAAAAACAAAATAATTAAAATAGAACATGAACAGAAAGAAAACATGCACAAAAAAAAAAAAGTCAACAAGTTACCAGAGAAAATAAAAATACAAGATTTACATATTATACAATACCACAAGGTCAACTTATGGCTTTCAAAAAATACAAATTTTTCTACACAGTTTCAAGAAACAACACAACCTGTACACTGAGACCACAAATGGCAATTTATACAAAGATACTGAATTCAGGCATCAGGTACATCTTGAAACAGGCTCTCTCATGGTTCTGGCCTCCACCACAGTTGTGGGAGAAGCACATTGGATGCAAGTACATAATTACTGAGTCAACAAAAGCTGGAAGATTTGATCAATCACTGGGTGAACCCAAAGTGACCTGCAAGGCCTTCACATTCCTGTTGTGAAACTGGCACCCTGGAAAACAGCCTTGAGTTTGTTCACAGTAAGAAAGAGTTTTTGAAACACATGTTGTCAGTCTACATGGTCCTGAAAAATTAGTCTCACATAGCCTGGATCACCAAATAGAGGAGTGGCACAGAACGGACAAGTGGCCTGGAAACCATTGGTGCCATGTGGAATGGGAACAGAGGCCCAATACCTACAAGACAGTATGTGATGTATTATTATAACACTGGTGAAAACTAACACTTCTTTATCCTAATATGAACCCACTAATAACAACTTATACCAATTATTATATATTGCAATAGTAGAACAACACAGTAAGGTGATTAATCATGCTAGATGTTACTGTAACAAGCAACATTATTAAAAAGAACAGTTCATTCCATTAGACTTATGTACTACACTGTAAAAGTTGTGAAAAATGTTTAGTAATGGTATTTACACACTTGTATCAAGGTTGCATATCACTTTTTACTTGAATACAAAGAATATAAGTTATATCACCTACATAATCTATACTTATAATGTCACAAATGCATTGTAGATGATTTATTACAGGAATGTCACTAAATGTGAAGAATGCCAAAACTATCCTGGTATTAGTTAAAACATTTCCTGTTCCCAACTCACTCGTAAAAGCATATACCTATTCCTCTTATAATGCTTTGGAAAAACAAACATTAAGATACTGTCATGGTCATTAATTTACATTCAGAAAATGCATAACTTAGATACTGAAAAAATGATTTCAATCAGTAATGGTGATCAACACACAAATAATCTGACTGGTTCAAGTCAAACATTGAGAGTACATTACATTACTTTGTTCAGTGTACAAGACTATCATTACATCTTATGCATAAATATCTTTTTATTAAAACAACCAAATACCCAAAGCAAAAAAATGGAGTAACTGTCAAATATAATTTCAGTTCTTCCAATTTATCAACAGCATAAAGACATTTACATCTATTCCTACAAAGGATTAATAATCATAATACCAATAAAAAAGTATTTATACTAATTTTTAAAATCTAAGTGTTTTCTTACTTTAAATTATGAAGTTATGCAAATCATTTAATCACAAAATGATAAAAAATATGTGATTACTTCTGTTAGCCTGTGTAAACAAAACTACTTCATATTATTTTTTACACTATAGAAGGCTTGTATTTACTGACATTTAGTAGTAGGTTATTGCTTTGATAGTTTGTACAAATAACTGTTTTTAGTATCAAGTGCAAAAAATATCAAGTTTCGGTTTCATTGTAATGAAATTATCTTATTTAGGCTAATGAGGTGAAAGCTGTTTAATTTGTTACCTCTACAAGTTCTTGCTTTTCTCCTTACTTCACAGTTTGTTCTGATGCCATATGTCCACATGGATTAAAGGCAAATGTCGGAGGACCACTGTCCACATAGAAGGCAGGTTCAATACCCATACATAGTTTAACAATAGGTCCAACCTAAAGTTTAAAACAATTACTATAAATTTAAAAATAATTAATTAATACATGCAGCAGTAAACTTCATAGATTTATAAAAATTCTATATCAGTATATCACTTGACACATACAGGTCACCACTCATATAATGGGGGATACCATTAGTAAAACATATCATGCTGGCTTAGAATATCAGATTTCTTTTACAAACAAAATTTATCAAAATAACAAAAACGCAAGAAATAAATACTAAGGACACTAATAACCTTTTGAGCAAAAGTCTTCAATTAACACCTGTTTTAGCAAATTAACCTGATCCATATTTCTGAAACTTGATGAACAAAGACACTAGTTATACAGTTTGTATCTACTTTATCTATATATGTTTTTAGAGTACAAAACTTTTATCCTGACAAGAAAACTTCTTATTCCCCTATCCAGATTATCCATCAGATGAATCGAGCACAGTACAGATATTGATTCAATGGAACTTGAATTACTAAGATTTTAAATGCTGAGGTTAATTGCACTTTAAAAGAATTATGTTCCAGTTCTCATGCAACCCTTGGAACTATTGTCTCCATCTTCAATCGTACACATACTAATAGTCACGATTACATACTATTATCATACACCAAAAAATTCATTGTTACAAGCTGCTACAAAGAGCAGGGAGACCAACACCAGACTGCACACCTTGATAAACTTCCCATAGACCTCTACTGTAAGTGAACCTCAGCTTTCAAAGCCACATTTAAATAGACCAGAAACACAGATGTTCATTTGACAAGTGTATACTTGATTACTGCAATTTCAGTGTTTTGGCCATCTTTCTCAGGAAAAACAGTAGTTAACTGTGAAGTGTGGTTGAAGGTTCGGGAGTCTTTGTTAATTTCAAATTTTTATTCTCTTATTAAGATTTAGCCAGCTTTGTTACAATGGCTTTTTTGGGTCAGAGAATTCTTAACTGTGGCCATAGTCTTTACTAATAATAGCTTTAAGTTTAATTCCATCATATCACATGCACCACATTTATGTTGAAATACCACTTCAACTTAAAAGAAAATCTCTAAACACTATTCAATGTTGCTGACAATGTTATCTCACTGATGCCTGAGTTCGAAATAATAGTTAGCATTTGGTAAATTATCAAGCAAGTCTGAAAGGCGCAGATGCAATTTTAAGGACTTCCAGGTGAAAATGTTAATCAATATGTTTTAAAGAAATGACTTGTAAATGACAAATAACAGTTAGCATTTGGGAAATTATCAAACAAGTCTGGAAGGTGCAGATGTAATTTTAAGGACTTCCAGGTGAAAATGTCAATCAATATGTTTTAAAGAAATGACTTGTAATCTACATTATCATTAAAATTAAGCTAAATATGAGTTAATTGTTTTAATAATAAAATTACAATCTGAAATAAAAAAGTGTATGAATACCTTTAGTTTAACTGGGGAGACATGATGGTATAGTGTCAGAGAAAGGAACTACCACATATACTGAGCTGGAAGTGAAACTGCAAATCATAAAATGGTATATTTTCAATTACATTTAAGTCAGTCAAGCCAGTTAAATAGAAGAAAAAAGCTCAACTGTATAAAAGTGTGTTGTTCGTATAACACCATACCTTCAAGTCAGATTTGCTGAAAGTGTGTTAAATGATCCAGATGTACAGCATGAAGTACAGTATTTTAGTTCATTTGTTTCAATCAACTAATTTACATTTCTTTCACTGGAAAACTTTGGTGCTATTGAAAACGGATATTAAAATTTCACAAATTTTTGTTCTAAATGTTAAAGTCATCACTCTTCAACCGTTGAAAAAAAAAACCTCAAATAAACCTGAATAAGTAGATTTCATTAGAATAAAATTATTAAATTTGCACTTGTTATTTAGTGAAATAAACTGTTACATACCTTAACAAATGTATTTCATATTGTGAAGCAATTTTCAATACTGATAGAATTAACCTGTTTTTTGGGAAGTTACAGTTTGGCAGAGTGCTTTGCTTAAGTACAAGAGATACAAAAGGCAGGAAGAAATAACATATATTGCAAGTTTTTAAGCTTAGAACATGCTATGCATAAAAACAATATATGCAAGCCTTATTATACGTGTTTGTGTAAAACTGAGTTATCTTAAAGCATTATGTATAAGATTTAGAACTACAGTAAATATCTTAATCTATTTCCTTTCTTCATAGAAATTTTTCATTCTATCCTATAAGTTTTGTTTTTCATGTAATTTTCCTCCTCATTCTTGAAGTATTGAAAACTTACTTTTAAACACATTGGACATGTTCTGCTATCCGAGTTCTTGTCCAGCCCCCAGTCATGAAGCCCTTGGACGTGTCCACATATCAGGTACACATACGGTTGTTTTTCACTGAATGATATGGTAGACTTGCGAGGAATAACCAGTGTATTCAGCCCTACAGGACATTGAGGTCTACCAGCATTAAGCTCATCAATCATTTCTTCTAAGTGCTTCTTAGTCTACACATAAACATCCAATAACAAAACTTTACTGATATTTCCATAAGGAGAAAAAAATGAATTAAGTACTAAACACAGTACACTTATATAAAGAAAATCCAAAAAACTAAACCTTTTTTTTTCTTTTTTCGCCACTTTTCCTTTACTGAACATGAAGAACAATGCCATATTTTATTAATACTCCTCATGAAGAATTATTTACAGTTAACCAAAAATTTGTGAAGCCTACAATAGTCCTATTCTGTGTTATAGAATAAATTTAACTTCTTTAACACAAGCAAATTGATCTTCAAAGACTAAAGCATAACAATAATAGTAAGTTCAATGTTTGCATGACACCAAAGCCAAGAAAATTGACACAAGTATTAAAGATAACCAACATCTATTTAACTCTTTCAGCATGGGGTCAGTCCCTGGGAACGACCTCATAACCATTTTGTGCTTGTTATAGTTTTCA